CAAGATAATGATGGCTGACTGTTGTCTTAGAGCAGAAGATATTGTAGGGAGAATTGTCACTGCAGCTCACTCTGGAAAGAGATTTTATGTTGATTGCATTCCCAATGATATGACTGCAGAGAACTCATTTCCTAGGAAAGAAGGTTACCTAGGTCCTCTTGAGTACAGCAGTTATGCTGCTTATTACAAGCAAAAGTACGTTATCACCCATATCTTAGTGTCTCCTTTTCTTTTCCCACGTCCTTAGAAGTTTGAACCATGGTTTCTTAAATTCTGCTGCTAACAAATGCTTAATTATTTGCAAGGATTGGGTGGTTTCAGTGCACCTTGGTTGTACTTGAATAATAAAAGGCTTCTCATTTTAAAGGCTGAATTACTTTCAAGGGTGGGATAAGTTGGCTTTTTGGAGCAACTGGCCTACACTTTTTCCCTTATCCGCTATTTGGAAGTCCTAGATTTGGGAAGTTCTTTTCTTCAATTGTTTTCAAGTACAACCTTGGTGCATTTGGCTATCCAGTCCAATTTGTATGCAGGTATGGAGTTGATTTGGTCTATAAAAAGCAGCCTCTATTAAGAGGCCGTGGTGTTTCATATTGCAAGAACCTTCTGTCACCACGATTTGAACATTCAGAAGGTCTGCTTATACTTTACCTGTTTCCTTTTTTTCTGACTGAGCTTGTCTCTTGTTCATGTCATTTTTTGGTAATTGTGGAATTAATTTTTGTAGAACACGAGGGTGAACTTGAAGAAGCTACTGACAAAACATATTATGTTTTCCTCCCTCCTGAGCTCTGCTTTTTACATCCACTTCCGGGATCCCTTGTTCGGGGTGCTCAGAGATTGCCCTCGATCATGAGGAGGGTTGAGAGCATGCTGCTTGCTGTTCAGCTTAAGGATATGATTGGTTACCCTGTCCCAGCACTGAAGGTAAAATAAACCTCTGATTATTTTCTGGAGTTTGTCTTTACGACTTCATTTGATGCCTAAGCAATTTGTTATACAGATCTTGGAAGCATTGACAGCTGCTTCCTGCCAAGAGACTTTCTGCTATGAAAGAGCAGAGCTTCTTGGAGATGCCTATCTGAAATGGGTTGTTAGTCGGTATCTTTTCCTTAAATATCCCCAGAAACATGAAGGCCAACTCACCAGGATGAGACAACAATTGGTAAGCAACATGGTCTTGTACCAATATGCCTTAAATAAGGGACTCCAATCATACATCCAAGCAGATCGATTTTCTCCATCGAGATGGGCCGCTCCAGGGGTGTTGCCTGTGTATGACGAGGACACCAATGAAGAGGAGTTGTCCATATTTGGTCATGAAATAACAGAAAATGGGACTGTAGCAGCAAAGACACTTGCTGCTGATGAGTTTGAAGATGAGGAAGCTGAAGAAGGTGAGCTTGATACCGATTCAGGTTCGTATCGTGTACTCTCTAGCAAGACGATGGCTGATGTTGTGGAAGCACTGATTGGCGTATATTATGTTGATGGTGGAAAGTATGCTGCAAACCACTTCATGAAATGGATCGGGGTTGAGGTTGATTTCGACTTCAAAGAGACTGAGTACTCTATTAGGCCTTATAGCATTCCCGAGAATGTACTCAGGAGTGTTGACTTTGATAAATTACAAGGTGCTCTGAACATCAGCTTCAATGATAAAGGCCTACTGCTAGAAGCAATTACTCATGCTTCACGCCCGTCTTCTGGGGTCTCCTGTTATCAAAGACTGGAGTTTGTGGGTGATGCAGTACTAGATCATCTCATCACGAGGCACTTGTTCTTTACATACACAGATCTTCCCCCTGGCCGATTAACCGACTTGAGAGCTGCAGCTGTGAACAATGAGAATTTTGCACGTGTTGCGGTTAAACATGGCCTTCATTTACACCTTCGTCATGGATCCAGTGCTCTAGAAAAGCAGGTTGTTTAACTTTGCTTCCGCTTTGCATACTCAATTTTTTGTCAGTATTGGACTTTCTCCTTTTGCAAAGAATGTATGCCAATGCCTTTTTTTTCCCCTTTTTGTCCAGATTCGTGACTTTGTGAGTGAGGTTAAGAATGAACTATCGAAACCAGGTTTCAACTCCTTTGGTTTAGGGGATTGCAAAGCTCCTAAAGTTCTTGGTGATATTTTTGAATCAATTGCTGGGGCTATTTTTCTTGACAGTGGGTGTGATACTGCAGCTGTGTGGAAGGTTAGTATCAATGGCCTTGTAATAATTAACCTCATTATCCAGCTGTCCAGTTATTGGCGAATGAATTCTGGTAGGGATGTCAGCTCATTTGATTCGTGAATTTTCTCAGGTTTTTCAACCATTGTTGCATCCAATGGTCACACCAGAAACACTGCCGATGCATCCAGTTCGTGAACTACAAGAACGCTGTCAACAACAAGCTCAAGGCTTAGAGTACAAAGCGAGTCGAAGTGGGAATATAGCTACAGTTGAAGTATATGTTGATGGTATTCAGGTTGGAATGGCTCAGAATCCTCAAAAGAAAATGGCACAGAAGTTGGCTGCCAGGAATGCCCTTGTTGTGTTGAAAGAGAGGGAGGAAGCCGAAGCTAAGAAGGCTGAAGATGGGAAGAAAAAGAAGAACGGAAACCCGTCGTATACCAGGCAGACATTGAATGATATATGCTTACGTAGAAATTGGCCTATGCCACTGTATCGGTAAGAAGTGTTTTTACATTTTAGCTTTCTACCTACATGCTATTGCACTATGATATTGTTGGTGAACAAAAATGTCTGTATCCTCACTCTGAATTGCAAACTGAATCAATAATTTGGTGTTTTTCAGAAGTGTGCACGAGGGTGGCCCAGCACATGCAAAGAGGTTTACATATGGTGTACGCGTAAATACTTCGGACAAAGGATGGACAGATGAATGTATCGGGGAACCTATGCCGAGTGTAAAGAAAGCCAAGGATTCTGCAGCGTCTCTACTACTGGAACTCTTAAATAGATGGTATTCATGAACCCTTTTACAGATATTGCAGTCTTCTATTGCTTATCAGGATACCTATTCCCTGCAAAACAAGCTTACATAATGTCTGTCTCTACTAAAAATTTGGGCCCTAAACTCCTTGTAAGATATGCTTTTGTTACTAGCATCCAACATAAGCTGCCTCATTATCCCACAAAAATTTGAAGTCTTTGGAATGAAAGACAAATGTTACGTTAAAATCTCCAATTGATCTGCCCTTTTTTATTCTTGCATGGGGTTAATTGTTGCATTTTCTGAGGCTTTTTGGAAGAATTTTTGGTTTTGCAAAATGAAATTTCCGTGGAGAATGACGTTTTTCGGGTGTTTTGATAGATTAGTCATATAATTATCGGTTAGTTAGGTGTTAGATTATTGATCCAGCCAATGAATCTCTTCTTCTGTGCCTCTTATCCACTCTCTTTTAGTACGGAATTTAATGAATTTGTACTTCAAAATGTGCGAGGAGCGTATTTTATTGATTTATTTTTCTTCAAGATTTTGTTGGGAGTTCCATGTCATTGGAACAGTACGGTCATATTATTTGTCCGTTAAGGTTATTGCACCCCTCCTAAGAAAGAGACTCAAGTTTAAACTACTTTTTATCTCGTCATAAACATTTCATTGTTAATACTCTATTAATTGGAGCTGTAAGGATGAGTTAGGAAAAAAGCAATGAATGCTTGTACTTTTAAAAATAACATTTTATAACAAATTAAGCTTGTCAAAATGATTACTCCTATTATTTTGAGACCGGAAGTAGTAAAGCCACAAGGGATAACCTTGACTATAATTTTACCTTCTCAACCATGGCAACTTAATGAATTGCTAATGTAGAGAAATTGTGCTACTTTATTTTTTAATAATTTAAAATTCTGCAATGCCGATCAGGGCTTCAAGTGTTTACTTCTGTGCCATGTCACCAATTCCAAATTTCCAATTCAATAATTTGGTAAAAACAAGCTTTTCCGAATAATACGGAATTTACTACTTCCGGAAAGAACTGGTGTAAGGATATGCACTCAAGACCCAGGGTTAGGCCATTCATTGTGTTGTGAGCAAATTTTGGAGAACAGGGTTCAAAATTCTTGTGAAGACAAAATACTAGGTAGTTTCTTTCTATTTGTCTAAGCCTTGGCAGATAGAGTTGTTTGGTATATGTGTTGATGAGAGGTAATATGTATCTGGTAAAGTAGTTGACGTGCGCACAAGTTGGTCCGAAATTTTTTGAATGATAAGGATGCGAAGTTGCAATTGACTTGTTCAAGACATTTAGATGTTTTAGAGAATTAGTTCTAGGAAGGCGCCAACACATTACTAAGAAACGTTAGTCTCACTAATCACTACAGTTTTCTTATAAACTGACACGCTTTTACACTATCATCTATCTAAGTTTAGTTTATGGTAAGTGTAGATTGGTAATCTGGCAAGTGATCTACTACAACATGACAAAAGATTATGCTGTACAATCAGAGAAACGCCTGGTCAATTTGACATTGAATACTTAGTATAAGGTACAGTGAGTATCATTGTAGTGAACAGTTTCAATGACAGGTAACTGGATTGAAGACATTCAACAACAACAACAAATTCATAAAGGGTGTTCAATATATTCCGGTAGACCTCTAAAACTTAATATTTTATTTCTCGATGAAGGGTAGTGAGTATCATTGTAGTGAACAGTTTCAATGACAGGTAAACTGGATTGAAGACATTCAACAACAACAAAAAACCCATAAAGGGTGTTCAATATATTCTGGTAGACCTCTAAAACTTAATATTTTATTTCTCGATGAAACAAGTGTGTACGTAGATCTTACCCTTACCTTTAAGAAGACAGAGAGGTTGTTTCCGGTAGACCCTCGGCTCAGGAAATATGAAAGGAAGGGGCAACAACCAGCAAACCAAACGCAAATCTGAAGCGAAAATACAAAACTAAAACTAAGTAATGCAATCAGAAAACCGAAACGAGAGCAACAAGTAATAACAGAAGTCTAGGAATATGAAAATAATATGAAAATACACGACTGACACTAATAATGTACAAAAGCTACTGTTACAAACGGATTGAAGACATTGAGGTTTTGGAAAATTTTATTAAAACAAGAGATTGCTTGTGTATACTTAAGAGAAAGCAGGAGGAGATAACTACATAATTACTGCAAGTGTTTAATGATGATAAAAGCCCAAGAATGTTATTTTGATAGTGGCTTTTATTCAGAACAGCAGGGGCTTAAGAGAAGCCTCTGGCAGGGACATGTATAGAATCAGGAGACATAGATATCATCTGAAGAAGACTTGAATTGGAAAAAGTTTCTTCAAGATTATGAGTCGACGGACATCTCCTACTTCTACCATCAACTCCATCTTTTGATATGTGAACCAGTTCTTTTGCAACATCTCCCATGTGAAATTTGCCATCTTGGGAACCAAATATTATGCATCTTGTTGCAAGGTCTGCAACTATCTCTATCTGCTCCCTTCGAAAAATAGGCTGCTCGTGATAATAAAGATGTGGATCTACAATCTCTTCTAACTTCCCGCTTGTTATCTTCTGTAAAGCCATCTTTGATGGAACATGATCCGATCTGCTACCTGTGATAACCTCCAAAAGGACCAATCCAAAGTTGTAAACGTCGTTTTGCTTTTTGTAATCAGTGCTTGTATTTGTGGAGAGCTCGAGTCCAAAGAGTTTCACGGTCAAGTCCTCATCTAGGAAGATGCAACTGGCATTAAGTTCATGATGTACAATGGGGGGATAAACCTCAGATTGGAGGAATGCAAGAACATTTGCTGTTTCAGCAACAATGTTTATTCTCTGGTGCCAATCAAGACCTCTTTTTGTCTCATCTTTAGCTCGAAAAAGATGTTCCCCGAGCGTTCCATTAACAGGATAAGCATACACCACTAATGGGGTGTATCCAGAATCAACAGACCATCCAATAATCTGGGCAATATTCTTGTTTGAAACAGCATGTAATGCCTCCACTCGGGACAAAACCTCGACAAGTTCTCGTTCACTATCACATTGTAGTCTGTGTACAGCTATAGCTGATCCTTCCACTAGAGTTCCAGAATATAGTGTAGCTTTGCCACCATGATCAAGAAGTATTTGATCATCTTGAAAACCTTTAGTGGCCTGCTCTAGCTCATAGTAAGTAAACATTCGGATAGTACAAGGTTTCTGGAATGAGATGTTACCCTGACTGCGAGTCATACTAGGATGATCGAATATGTCTGTCTTCATAGGCCGTCGTAAAACACAGAAAAGTGCTGTCAAGGAGGTGATGGTGAGCGCTGAAGTGAGTACTCCTGTGCATATGTAGACAATTGCTGTGAGTCTATCTCATCTCTAGAAAATTAAAGAAATTAATCTTTGATATAAGACACAACATCGCGAGTTTAACTTTTATATACAGTTAAACGAATTTTTACGTTATCAAGTCACTAAATGATAGCTACAGGTAACCGTTTATAAAAAGTGAGATTAGTAACCTAAAAACAAGGGAGGTTACTTGTTACAACATGTTAGATATACGGTTAATATAAAAGTATTTTACTATTAGTACATATAAGTTATAAGTTAAATCCCAACACTGTCCCCAATCAAGGCAGATTACCTGTCTAAATTTATTGACCTTCCTATTTAACTTCCATACACTAACAATGTAATTTTTTTTTTAATATTATAAGGTCATTCAAAAGATAACTAAAGGTAAACATCCATAACAAGGAAGATAAATAACATAGAATAAGGCAAATTACAAGCTAAAACAGGTTAAAACGCAGTACTGGTGTAGAATTTGTTTACAATGTTGTGTATATATTTTGAATCCTAAAAATAAAGAGTCTTAACTTTTGTGCACTAACAGTGTAATTCTTTTTGTACTATGAGATTAAGATGACATGCAACAAGATGTAACTATTTAAAAATGGATGTGTGTAGTTCCAAGATGTGATAATGGAAAAATGAGTTCAATCGAGCATAGTAAATCCAGTGCAGTTATTTCAATACCTCCTGCTTTCTGTTATGAGTTAAAACATGCCGAATTCAATTGAAATTACTGTCACTAGTACAGAGTACAGACCAGCTAGAATTACTGCTTTCCTTCTACCATGACTTGTTGAAGAACATGCTTTTCCATATGCTTCCTTTCCTTCTTTAGTGCAAGCTGCCAAAGAACTCACATTGATTAAAAGCCAATCATGGATAATAAACTATTTTCCAATATTGATGATAATAGATCACTGTTATATGGTCATGAGTTTAACTTCTGTGCACTGCTGTCAGGTTAAGATATAACCTTTTAAAGTAATTCTTATTTGGTAATCTAAAATCACTAAAAATAACTAGAATTAGTTACGAACTCCATCACTAATCTGTCACGAAATCGTTCATAACTAATAGAATTTCTTAATAATCCGTCGCTAAATTGGATTAGGGACGATTTTTTCTATTTAGTTACAGAATTTATCCGTCGCTAATTCCTCTTTTTTTTTAGCAATGAATGTAGTAAACAACGAGGTATCATCAGTTAAAATACGCTGATGTTGTAAAAATTCTTTACAAAGGAGTTTAACTTCTATTAACTAACAGTGTATAGTCTTTTATACTATCAGTTTAAGATGACCTCTAAAAATATAATGATTGATAACTGTCTATAAGTAATTCTAATTTGGTAACCTAACATGCTATAACTGGTTAAAAGGAACTGATAGTGTAATTTTTTTTCAACACTATCAATGTATATAAGTTAAGTTAATGGAGTTTAACGTGTGTATATTAACTATCTATAGTAAGGTTGTTTAAAAGAACTCACATTGGAGACATCCAATTCCAACAGCAAAACCATCACCTACAAATCCATCTTGGCATTTGCATCTAATACCAGAAGCAACAGTAGTTGCATTGACAATATCAGCATTAGTAGCACAAGTTGCTGTGGTTGAATTTCTTGGAACAGCCCACTCTAACTTAATACCACGTTTGCCTACTTGATTTCCAGATAAAACAACCCAAGACGAAAATCCCCTGCATCCAAACTGCGAAAAAGTAGAGAAACCATCTCTCTGATCCGCATTCCAAACGCTGTGATCAGATAACGGGTAGCAACACGCAGGGTAACTACCCGGAGATCCATCACAACGAGGCATTATGTTTTTCTCGCAATCTGATTTGCACAAAGATGAATCCTCACAGTCGTAGAGCCCTAAGATATTATCTCTAGATATGCCAAAGTAGTTATTTCCTTTAAATCCGAAGGATTTGAGGTCGTTGTATTGACGACAAAAAGTGGTATTTGGGAAATCTACGAGCATGCCATCGGAGAAGAAGTGAAGAATTTGATATGTTTGAGAACCAATGTTGAGGAAAAGTGAAGTGGAGTTTATACAAGAAAGGCGAAATGCATCAGAAAGTGAAGAGCCACAGTTGGATTGGTTCATGTAGAATGGAAATGGTATGTGAAAATTCCCACATTTCTCTCCACAAGCTTCTTCATGATGCGTTTCTTGCCAAGTATTATTCTGATGGTCATTTTCTTCTTGTCGATCTTCGACTTTATGTGAGAGAGAATACGTTCCACTGCTAAGTAGTAATGTAACTATAAAGAGAAAAGCGAAAAATCGCAGGGGTAACATGCTCCTGGTGGCTTTTGACTAATAACTTTGCTCCAAGCAAGTGAAACTAACGGTCCGAAAGAGTTTACGATTTAATCTAGAGAAGTAGAACTCAAAAGGTTGGCCAAGATTGTGTCCTTTCGAGCAAACAAGGTCCTGTTTTGAGTGGAGGCAGTAGATTAAAGGCATAGGACAACGGAACTTAGAAGGATGAGAGAGGTAAGTAGTAAGATATATGTAAAAACACTTAGAAGCATGTCGGACAATGGAACGACCAAGAATATGTCATTTACCTATACCTTACACCTTCTTGTGTGCCTATAAGCTTGACTTTCTAGTTATAGAATGTACTTCTCTTTCTTGCAAATTGAACCTAGTCAAGTTCAACGGAGGAGAAAGGAAAAAGACCTTTCTAATGTACGAACACACTGAAGTTCCTCGTTTCTAAATTTTCCTACAATGTTCATTTCTTCAAAAAAGAAATAGCACTATAAAAGAAAGCTAAAAGATATTGGCGAAGAAGTTATATTCTCCTCTATAATCTTGCCAATAGATTACTTTGCTACCTCTCTTGTATAGACCAACAATCTTTTGATATCCACACCATGTACATTTCTTCTAAAAATATTGCATGAAGATGCAAAAGGACTAAAAATACAAAAGATTTTCACTATCTTTCTCGTTTAACTATTATTTGTATGGAAATCTTGAATTTAGCTTGAAATGAGGAGTTTATTTTGGAAGTAAGGAAAGGGAAGACAATTGGTCTGAGGAATAGGGTACATCCTTGCAACTGGAGTTGTGCCAAATGGGAACGTGGCGTAGTTGGGAGACTCAATAACATAAAAGAAAAGAAAATTATACTGTACTTGGTTTTGAACTAAGATAACGAGAATTAAAAATGTTAATTGTTTAGTATCGGGCCTGTTCCTTTCAAGAATAAATAGCGAGGTTCTAAGTACAAAAGGACATTTTTAAATATTTTATAAATTCGGACAAGGATTTTTTATTTTTTAAAACAAAATTTATGTACTACTCTCTCTATTTTTTCATTTTATATAACATATATTCTTTTCTAAACTATTTTAAAAAAGAATGACGTGTTTCTATATTTGAGATCTAACTTTAAAAGTTTTTATGTTACCCTTAAACATGCTCTTATTACTACAAATCTATAGATACTTTGGGTTTTTGACAAATCTCTTTCTTTTTTCCCTCAAATTTTATGTCTAATCAAATACCTATCATATAAAATAAAATGACGGAGATAAGAAGCTACACAAAAAATGTTATAAATAACAATTTCTTAATAGTTAAAGACATTTAAACAAAGACAAAACTATTTTTATCAAACAACAATAATGTCATCTAAAAGTACAGTTGATTAGAATCCCTCATATTATATGCAACAATTAATTCCATACTTGAAAGTTCTTTAAGGGGGACAATAATTCTGTAGTAGCAATATATGTAAATATATTATTCATAAACTAATTTTATTATTTGAAACATAGAATTTATTATCACCATATAGTCCGTAATAGCCGATTATTAAGTACGAAATTAATTTCATGTCACCTTCAATTGAAATACCAAGAATATAACTGACCTATTGGGAATAGTAACAGTACATATATAGTTTTGAATATAATGTACTGCATCATCGAGATTCGTCTCGTTTGAGTTTTACGGTATGTCATGTGGCTGTACATACAAGTAAACAAAAGGTTAAAATATGCTAGTAGTACAAAACTACAAATCACAAAAGAGTTTAAGCTATAAAGATTAATATTGTACAGAATATTGTTAAAAGCCCTAATATTTTGTGTCATCGTTGTAATTGAACGTGTTGTACGTGTTAGGAGTACTTGTCATTTATGTTAAATTATCCATCAATGTTATTAAATAGAATTAATTTGCAATTATCTTTTGAGTGATATGTCTATGTCAATAGTTTTTACATCGTTAATACATAAAATTTAAACTCACTACTAAATCAAATGCTCTTCTATAATCTCACCAAGCAGAACTGAAGAATGAAGATCAACTTCTGATAAGTTTAAGGTATGTTTATGTACTACATTAAGCAACTATTGTCCTTCCGAAAAGAAGGGCAGAATTTGGAATAAAGAAGTTGAAATTAATGTGTAATCTTCAATGTACATTACTGAAGTCTGAAACATTAATTAATTAATTTTTTATAAAAGATAATACGGCAAATCTTTCAATTTTCAATTAAAAGAAACAAAATATTGATTAATGTAGTAAAAGGTATGAACCTACTAAATACGTAATAACACTATCACGTGTCACACCCCCTTTTCTACTCCAAAACATATATGTTATGAATTGTTGTGGGTTAAAGAGTTTTTCCAATTAAAATGACAAACTTGAGTATATATTATTTTATTTTCAGAGTCGCCACTAGGAATTGAGTTTTTGGGTGTTGCGACCCGAAATTCTCACATTCATGACCGTGATGGCGCCTAACATTTCACTTGCTAGGCAAGCCAACGTTAAAATAATTTTAACGATTTTAAAGCAAATTAAATTAAATAGAAGTCAATTATTGAAATAAAGTGCGGAAGACCATAAATACCGAATTATCAAAATACATTCCCGAATCTGGTATCACAAGTGCACAAACTACTAGAATAATACAAATAAAGGTCTGAATAAAATTTAAACTGTTTGAAAGATAATACACAGCTGAGATAAGATAGAATGAGACTTCAGAACTGCGAACGTTGTACAATTATACCTCAAGTCTCCTCTGAGTAGCTGAATCCGAGCACGTCTATGGTACGCTACTGGGATCAACTCCAAAATCTGTACAAAAAGTGCAGAGTATAGTATGAGTACAAACCGACCCCATGTACTCCGTAAGTGTCGAGCCTAACCTCGACGAAGTAGTGACGAGGCTATGACGGGACACGTACGTAAACAACATGTACAAGTGTATACAAATACGAATTGGGAGGGAACATGCGAAGGGGATTGATATAATAATTTCAGCAAGAGAATTATTACTTAGCAGCCAAATAATTCCTCACCAATAAAATGAGCAACTGATAATATAAAAATGGCACGGCACCACCCTTTGTGCTTTTACTTTCATTCCTCCCGTAAACTGATAAATAATAATAATAATAATAATAATAATAATAATAATAATAATAATAATAATAATAATAATAATAATAATAATAATAATAATAATAATAATAAGCACGATATTACCCTTCGCGCTTTAACAATCTTTTGACACGGCATCACCCTTCGTGCTTTTATACTAAAAAATGACACGGCAACACCCTTCGTGCTTTCACACTCTTTCTCACCATGACAATGACAGTATAAATAATAAAAATGGCACGGCATCATCCTTCGTGCTTTTACACTCTTTCTCGCCATATTTAACAATAATTAAATCAATAAATTTTTTCATGAATAATGATCAAATGATCAATAATAAACTTAAGTAGGAATATCTTAATTAAATAAGCAATTATTTAAAATGAAAAAAATTTCTCCAACATGCTTTGACTCAATCACAACGCATAAGTACTCGTCACCTCACATATACGTTGTACCCGCACATTAAATCACGTAGCAAATAGTCAAATAAATTTTACTCCCTCAAGTCAAGGTTAACCACGACACTTACCTCGCTTTGCAACCAAATTCAAGAATTCAATAAACCTTTGCCTCGCGAATTCGTGTCCGAAATCCCCAAATCTAGTCATAAATATTTTAATATACTCAATACAAATTGTAGTAATTAATTCCATATGAATTTACTAATTTTTCAGATTAAAATCAGAAATTCATCTAAAAAATCATCAGTGGGGCCCACGTCTCGAATATCGAAAAAACTTAAAAAATTCGAACACCCATTCTGAGACGAGTCCAACCATACAAAAATTATCAAATTCCGATGTCAAATGGACCTTCAAATCTTAATTTTTCTTTTCTGGAAAGTTTTACAAAAATTCCAATTTCTTCCATCTAAATCTGAAATAAAGGATGAATATAGACATGGATTTATGAAATATAATCACTTTTGGTTATAGAACACTTACCCAATTCAAAGTCGTGAAACCCCCCTTTGGAATCGCCAAAATACGAGACTCAAATCTCAAAAATGAGTGAAAATGGCTAAAACCCAATTTTATGTATTCTGCCCAGCATTTTTGCATCTGTGGACTATATTTTCACACCTGCGGTCTCGCATTTGCGAGACAAAGCTCGCATTTGCGAAACAGGGCAGCTTGTCCAGTGGCTTCATCTGCGCCCAGAAATGTCGCACCTACGACATCGCAGAGGCGCCCTAGTGACCGCAGAAGCGGTCTTCCACACAGAAGCGCCCTATTGACCGCAGAAGCGGCTCGTCCATCGCAGATGCGATTGCGCACCTGCGTTCATTTCTCCGCAGAAACGGAGCTCAACAAGGCTGTCCAATGTCGTAGAAGCGGCTGGAATTCTGCAAGAGCGACCACGCATCTGCACACAAAATGTCGCAGGTGCGACACACCATAACCAGTACTGGGCAGCATGTTCCAATTGCTCAGTGGCTCGTCCGAAAC